ATGTCACAGGAAAGAAGTTCAGCTGGATCTAAAAGAAACCTGACAGCTAAGAACACAGAGGTTTTATCAAGAATGGAAATTGAACTTAAAAAACCAATAGATATTAAATGATTAGATTTCCTAAAATACAATCTTTGTTTTTATAGTTTGACACAAAACTATCAGTTTTAATTATATTTAGATAATATCTTATGATCATAATATTAAAAAACTATCAAAAAATGATACATGACATTTTGAAAAATTCTACTAAGAGTTAGAATTCCTGTTCTCCAGAAACATACATATAAAACTATATAGCTTTAAAAAATCGATTTTATCCTGTTGCCCAGTCAGGGATGTAGCCGGACTTCATTGAATTACAAAAGCATCACACTATCCTGGCTACTCAGGAGGCTGAGGCAGAAGGATCACTTGAGCCCAGGAATTGAAGGCCAGCCTGGGCAACATGGTGAGACTCTGTCACCAAAAACAAAAAAAAGCAGCATCTGACTCAGATCCAAGAGCCAACTCAGCATCCCTACATAGATGTCTAAAATACATCTCCAAGTCTCCAAAACCAAACTCCCAATTTCTACATCCTGCATCCTGCTTCTTCTAAAGCCACCCCCATCTCAAAATAGAAAGTATATTCTTCCAGTTGCTGGACTGAAATCCTTGCAGTCATTTATGAAACCTCACGTTCTCTTATACCCTACATGCAACACCTTAGCAGATATATTCCTCACTCCAGCTGCAAACGACAACCCAGATCTGACCACATCTCACTACCTTCACTGCTGCCACTCTGATCTAAACTACCATCATCTTTGTCTTAGATTTCTGCAATAGGGTATTAACCGGTCTCCTGATTCCACTCTTGTTTGCCATTGAGTCTACCAGCCACACAGCAATCAAGGTGAATCAATCCTCCTCCTTAAGACTTCCCATCTCCCTCTCTACATTGTTTACAAGGCCCTACATGACCTGCCTCCCACTCAGTCCGGTGCCTGAACTCATTCTTCCCTTCCCTTAGTCCACTTCAACCTTGTGCTATGCAGAATAATGGTTCCCCACAGATGTCCAGATCCTAATACCCAGAACTCAGATGGAATAAAAGTTACTAATTAGCTGATCTTCAGATGGGGCAATTATACTGGATTATTCAGGTGGGACCAATGCAATCAGAAGGGTTCTTATAAGCAGAAATGAGAGGGAGAAGAGTAGATCAGGTTTAAGAAAATGAGAAAAATCTCCACCCATCATTGCTGGCTATAGAAGGAGGAAGGGGTCCAAGAGACAGCTGCTTTTAGAAGCTAGAAAAGGGCAAGAAAATGAATTCTCACCCAGGATCTGCAAAGAATGCAGTCCTGTTGACCTCTTGATTTTACCCAGTGAGACCAATTTTGGACTTCTAAACTAAAGAACTGAGATAAATGGAATTTTTGTCTTTTAGGCCACTAAGTTTATTGTAACTTGTTACAGCAGCTGTAGAAAACCAGTGCGAGCCCCCAAGCTGCCCAGCACCGCAACATGCCTCTGCTTCAAAACTTTCACACTTCCTATTTTCCTCTTAGATTTCTCCAAGACGACTCCCTCCAGTTCAGCACATCAGAATAGTCTTGCCTAACCCCCGTACACAAAATACCCCCTTTCAGAACTTGCTATCTCACTGCCCCTGTTTCATTGTTCTCCACAGCATCTGTCACTGAATATCTGAAATAATATCTATTTACTCATTTGCTTGTTATCAGGCTCTTCCATTGGGATGTAAGCTCCATGAGAGCAGAAACTGCTTTGTTCACTGCTCTACTGCCAGTCCTAAGACTATGCTACCTGAAGAACAGGTACCTAATATCTGTTAAATCAATGAATGACCATGTAAAAGAAGGGATACAGTTTAGATTGGGGATGTCAGGATTCTCAGAGGAAGTGAAAATGGATGAATGACACATAGGAATTATTCAGGCAAAAAGTGAAGACCAGACCAGTTTAGGTTTAAGCAGCAGCATATGCAAAGATTTTAGTTTGACCATTCGAGGAACTAGTGTTTTCAAAGGCCAATGTAAGCTGGAATACAGTGAGTAAGCAGGAGGTCAAGTAGAAAGGTAAATAGGAGCCAGATAATTGACCGCCATTTTGAATTTGTCTTAAGCGCTATAGCAAGGTTTTGATGACTTCACCATGTAGTAATTATATGGGGAAGACACTGGAATGGAGCAAGAGTGAAGCAGCGGAACTAGTTAAGCAACCCAGTATTACAGTGGTCTGACCAAAAGCTGATGTTGATGTGGATTAGGGAACCGGCAGGAAAAAATGAGAAAAGAGATGGTCAAGATGCATTTTGAAAGCAGAATAACCAAACTTGAAGGTTAATTAAATATGGGGGCTGATGGAGAGGGAAGTGTCAAGAATGACCCCAGTTTCCTGGTCTAAGGAGCAGGAGTGGATGACAGTGCTGTGTACTGAAACAGGGAAGAAAACAGTAAGAGTAGATTTGGGGTAAATTTGACTTTTGAATCTATTGTTTGAAATATCAATGAGACATCCCAGGAAGGCTAGAGACCTGTCAAGTAGTCAAGACTGCCTGACATCTCTGGAAAAGAGATCTGGGCTAAAGATTACAACATTTATAAATTGTTGGGATACAGGTGTACTTAAATCACAGAATAATGTTTAAAATTACCTAGAGAAAGTGGGTAGAATTGAGAGAAGACGACCTCGGATAGAGTTCTGCAGAATTTTAAATTGTAGATGTTAAAGAGATGGAATGAGTAATTAAGACTTAAACTGTTAAGGAACAGTTAGAAAAATGAAGAAAGCCCAAAAGAATGTAGTATCACAGAACCAAAAGAAGAAAGTGTTTCAAGAATTGCTCAACCGCTCTGAGAGTTCTAGTTATTTGAGGATTGAATTTAGCAACAAGGGGATGAATATTAATTTTTTTCTCCTTTTGAGAAAAGAAAGCTTTAAAAATTGTAGTGAAATATGTATAATATTAAATTTATCACTTTAACCATTTTTAAATGTACAGTTCAGTGGTGTTAAGTACATTTACATTGTCATGCATCAATGTTAATCTTGACAAGAATTTCTGTAGCAAAGTGAGGGCTAGATATTGAAGTAAATTTAATAATACATGGAAGTAAGGAAGTGGTGACAGAGAATATACTTGGCACTGGAGAAATATGGCTTTCATCGGCAACCTAACCATATGGCAGTAGCTAGAAGAGAGAGTCGAGAGCAAGATAGGAGGATTGTTTTTAACTGAATATATTAATCCATCACTGAATATTGATTCTAATTATTCTGTACAGAAGAAAAAAACAGAAGATGCTGGAGAGAGAGAAGGCATGTTACGGATTGTGAACCTTAAGAAAGCAAGAGTAACAGAGCTAGAACAAGAACAGACTAGCTTTTGCCAAAAGGCAGGAAGGAGACTGGCAGCAGATGCAAACAGGTGTGCAATATTTCTAGGAATGTTGAATGTCTGTTTGGGATTAATAACCATAAATGAATAGTAATACTAATGTGTCAGCTTGTATATTCCTATTCATTTATTCTATTTATATAAAACCTACTATGTACATGCCCTGAACTTGTGACCAAAGGAATGGACCAGTCAGTTGCTCAAGGCCTTCAGGAACATGTCTTTCATGTTGTTCCTGGAAGCTTCTGAATGGGCTTGGGAGAGATATTATTTTGGTAACATTTACTTCAAGGCCACAGTATATGCTGCATTAGAAAATTACCCTTATTCCACTTTCCTTTTCAAATAATCCACAATTATACTTCCATTGCCAATTCCTGAGCGGTTACACAATGAGCACTGGTTACAGAATAGCTCAAGTGATACAATGCCAGGGAAATCCGGGGATAGCACCCTACTGAAAATTTCATATTTAAGAAATCACAGTGGAATTATAAAGTATTTAGTACTGAATGGCTATGAAAGCACTATTTTAAAAACTTGCAGGATACAGATGAAGCAAGGGAAATTTCTCTAAGGGAAATTTATAGCCCTAAATTATATATTAGAAAATAAGAAATACTGGAAATTAAATTGATAGGTATTTAACTTGAAAAGCACTTAAGGTGCTAAGGAATAACACATTAAACTCAATGAAAATGTGAGGGATTAATAAAAATAAATATAGAAATTAAACAAACATATACACATTTAGAAAGAAACAGATATATGTTCAACAAAAGCTGCCTATTTGTAAAGACTACAGACAAACCTCTATAGGTTTGTCTAAATATAGAGACAAATCTTTGTTAAGACAAAAAAATAGAGAATTTATAAATATATAATAATCAAGAATGAAAAATAAGGTATAACTACAGACACCATAAAGAATTTTTAAAGAGAATACTATGAACCACGTACCAACATTTTAAAGGTTTAAATGTAGTAAAATATTAATTTTAGGAAAAAATGCGAATCATCAAAATTGACTAATGAAATAGAAAACCCAAAGAAACCAACAACTTTCATTAGAGAAATTAAATTGAATTTTCAAAATATGATCGTTTCACAGATGAGATTTACCAAATAGTCAAGGAACAAATCATACCTGTCTCATCCAAACTGTCATAGAATATAGAAAGAGGAAATTTCCAAATGCAATTGGAACCTTCTAAACCAATGTCACTTATAAACATAGATGCTAAAATAAAATACATGAAGCGCTGTATTAATAAATAACAGTACATTAAGGCAAAGCAGGGTTTAACTCAGGAATGCAAGTGTAGGTTCACATCAGAAACATCTAACAATGTGACCTGTCACATTAACATAGCAAAGATAAAACCTGTAATCATCTCAATATTTTTAGAAAAAGCATTTATTAATATTTCAATATTCATTTCATGGCTTAACAATATTCCTACTTTAAGCATAAATGGAATAGAAGGAAACTAATAAAGAGTTTCTACCAAAGACTTAAAAACAAATATCATAATTTTGACACATGAGAAACATTCTCAATGAGATAAAAATAGGAAAACAATGCTTGTACTCACCCTTTCTATTTGATGTTATATTGAAGGTCCTAGCCCACCCAAGGAGATAAGAAAAGAGAAAATGTATTAGGAGTATTATTTATAGATAATATTATCATCTACATGAAAACACAAATGAATCTATAAATAAACTATTTAACTAATAAGTTCAGCATGTTTGCCAACATTATCTAACAAAATTTTAAGATTATTCCAAAATCTACAGCATCTCTAACAATGACAGCAGCAGCAATGACCAATTTAAACATTTAATAGAAAAGACATCTCATTTCAATAGCAGCAAAAGCTATAAGGTACAATAGGAATAAGTCTAACACAGAGGTACAAGAGTTTTATAAACAAATTATAAAATGTTATTGAAAGACATTTAAAAATCAGAATAATATTAATGTACTAGGTGGCTCAATGTTATTGAAAGACGTTTAAAAATCAGAATAATATTAATGTATTAGGTGGCTCAATTTTATAAAGTTGCCATAGCTCCCCAATTTTAACCTATAAATTTTACTAAGCAAAAGACCAACAGAGTTTTTCCATGCAACTTGACAAACTAATGCTAAAGTTAGTACAGAAGAATAGAAGTCCAAAAATAGTCCATACATTCATGAAATTAATAAAGCAGATTCTACAGGTATCAACACGGGTAGCTCTCAAAATCACACTGAGGGAGGAAAGCAAGTTGCAAAACGATATGTACACTACCTAACACAATTTTTTAAATGAATAAAGAGGGAACATGTCCTTCTATACATCAAGATTTATAAAGCCATATTAATTAAGACTGCGATATTGGCTCAAATTTGGTTTGATCAGTGGAAAAGGACAAACTAGAAACATATCCATGAATACATGGAAATTTAATTTACAGTCATTGGTGGTATTACACATTAATAGGGACACGAAAGACTGTTCTGTAGTCAGGTTAAGACAGGCTTTCCAAATGGGGGTTGGGGGAAAAGGGAGAAGTAAAATTATTAAATTCCTACTTTACACTATTTAAAAAAAAAAAAAAGTCCCAGATAGATCAATCTCATGTATGGAAAGCAAAACTTTAAAACATTAAAGAAAAAGACATAAGAGGCTACCTTAACGTATCAGGCATGAAGAGGTTTCTTTAATAATCCACAAATGACACTATAAAGAAAGAGATCAATGAATGAGTACATTTTAAGTTTTCTATAGTGCAAAAGACATCAAAAGCAGCTAAAAGACAAGCCACAGACTGACACAATATATTCAATGTTTATACGCATGAATTCCTACAAATCAGGAGGAAAAAAAAGATAAAACATACACGGTCCATTGAAAAAAATGAACGAGGATTGTGAAAAAACAAATCACAGACTTGGAAACCACAATAACCAATAAACATGTGGGAAAAAAATGCTTAACTTCACTAGCAGTGAGAGAAATTCAAATAAAACAACAAGATACTGGTTTTTTAAAAACAATCAAATTGGCAGGAATAATAAAAGTCTGAATCTAGAAAGTGTTGAAGATCATGTGAGGGAAACATGAACTGTCATACACTGCTGATAGGTGTGCAAATTGAATCATTTGGCAGCCTCTAGCAAAACGGAAAATGTGTGTGGAGCCCGGTAATTCCCCATCTAGGTAGATACACAGATAAAATCTCACATATGTGCAAAGGAAACATGTACAAGTAGTACCAAAATATTGGCAGCAGTTTAATATTCAACAATAAGGGAATAAATAAACAGAACACATTCGTATGCATGCATGAATCTACACTACAGCAATTAAAATGAATGAACGGGATCTATATTTATCAACACGAAGAGAAAAACTGAAAACATACCACGAAGGAAAAAAAAAAACAGTCCAAGAATAATATGTACAGTCTAATACCATGTTTGTACATTTAAAAATTATATAAACCAATATTCTGTATTTTATGTGTTCACATCCGGTAAAAGTGTAAAACCCAGACTGGAAAGTTACATACCAAATTTATGTTAGTGTTTGCCTTTGGGGAAAAGGGAGGAGAATGGTATTGTGAGCAGTACAAGGGGAACTTCAATTTTATCAGAAATGTTGAATACTTCAATTTTAAAAATAGATCTGAGGGAGATAAGACAAAATGTTAATATTAATTATATGAGACAGGTATATGGGTGCTTGTACTGTTCTCTCTGCATTTTAAATATCTTCACATTTTTTCTAAATAATAAAATTACAACAACTAGTAAATCATTCTATCTCTGATAGAAGTTTAATGTGTAGATTAATGAAGAGTTAATCGTCTAAAGGAACTTCAGAAAAAAATAACTCTTTTGCAATGGAATCACCTTCAAAATAACATTGACAATATTATTTAAAAACTGCTGAAATGAATAGATTCCATAGGTGTCAACCTGGATAGTTGTCAAAATCATATTGAGGGAGAAAAGTTGCAAAATGTTATGTATACTACTGTACCATTTACTTAGAACTTTTAATAAACGTGGATATATACATATATTTACATATATAATTAGGTAATAAGGGTATCAAGACAAATGTGGGTTAAATAGCCACTTTAAAATACTAATTACCTAGGGAAGTGAAGAGGGAGAAAGATAAATGAGACAGGAGAGGGAAATAAAGTGACATTCAGCTCTATCTGTAATGTTTAATATAAATAAAAACATGAAACAACTGTAACAAAATTTCACATTTGGTTATCTTAGGCAGTAAATACACGAACGTATGTTATTCTGAATGCATACGTGCTGTTAATTTTCAAAAGAAAAAGTACTGAAGAACTACAGATAAAATGCACATAATTCACTCATACAAAAGCTTGCATACATCAAAAACCAAGATATGACTATTTTCAAAAATTATCCTGTTTGTTTTTCTATGTGGTTTTATATTTTTAAAAATAAAAACGAGGGAAAAATGAAAGCAATGAAGACACGTAAAAGAAACCGTACATATATTTCATTTAAAAAAAAAAAAAAAAGGCAAACCTCCACAATCACTAAATACCATATGAGCATTCTATATCATGTGCTGCATTTCCTTCCTTTTAACTTGGTCAAAAGCAAATTAGAAGATATTGCCTAATTGGAAACGTGACTTTCTATTATTAAAATTGTGGGAGTCCATTTTAATGTGTTTATCTCGCCGCCAGACTATAATTTATATTTCAGCGTGAAAACCTGTTTGGATGCCAGTGACAGGTTAATGCAGTTTAAACATGGATTTTTCTTTCGTTGGCTAAATAGTTAAATCGTTACCCAAAGGATTTTAAGTTTCAATTTCAACGGGGAGAGGATTCTCAGCTTTTCCAAGGTTAAAACTGTTTCTGTTTCGAGATGCTATTAATTAATGGCTACGTAGCGGATCTATTTAGGGAACTGCTCCCGGGCCGGGGTTCACAGCTGAGCTGCTCAATGAGAAAACTTTTTTTGCTGCAGACTTGGGGATATTTGCAATTTAGTCTGAGAGCGGCGAACGGGGAGTGAAATGGAATTCCAGACCACTTCGCGAACAATCGCAATTATGAACCGAAAGACATGTCAGGTATTAGCCATTTTTTTCCTTAAAAGAAAAAAACTTTCTGGGACTCCACGGGACACCCAGCTGGCGACGGACCAGCGGGCGGGGGGGCGAGGCCGCGGCCGCCCAGAAGTTCCGACCGGGGAGTTTCGCTCGGTTACCATTACCTGGCTCGCCGGCAGAAGAAAGAACGCGGAGACAAGATAATTTCTGCGGCTGTTAAACCCGACTTAGCTGGGGGGCCGCGCGTTCCGAGGGGGTGTCCTGTGGGCCGGGGCGGGTCTCCGCCGCCCCCACGGGCTCCGGTGCGTCAGGGGCGCGTCAGGCGGGGCGGGCTCCGCGCGAGCGGCGGCGGCGGCGGCGGCTGCTGCTGCTGCGGCAGCGGCGGCGGCAGCAGCGCGGCGGCAGCGGGCGGCGGGCGGCGCGCACCCGGCCTCCTGCTTCTCGCTCCGAGGCTGCGGGACGGACGCTCCCGGGAACTCCCTGGCCCGCGGCCGGCCGCGTTCGGACCGCGCTCGCCGGCGGCCGGGCGGTCCCAGCATGTCGGCCGCCGTGGCGTGCCTGGACTACTTCGCCGCCGAGTGCCTGGTGTCCATGTCCGCGGGCGCCGTGGTTCACCGCCGCCCGCCGGACCCCGAGGGCGCGGGCGGAGCCGCAGGCTCGGAGGTGGGTGCGGCGCCGCCGGAGTCCGCTCTGCCGGGTCCGGGGCCACCGGGGCCCGCGTCGGTCCCCCCGTTCCCCCAGGTCCCCGCCCCCAGCCCCGGCGCGGGCGGTGCCGCGCCCCACCTGCTGGCTGCAGGCGTGTGGGCAGACTCGCGCGGCAGCTCTGAAGAGGACTCCCGGGAGAGCTCGGGGGAAACTCTACGCGCCTCGTCCGGCGTCTCCGACCCGACCCCGTGCTCCGTCCAGACCCAGTGCTCCGAGCCGGCTCCCGCCTCCTGCGCTGCAGCGGTCTGCGCTCCCGAGAGTTCCTCCGGTGCACCCGCCGTCCGGAGCGCGCGTGCCACCGCGAGCGCGCCTGCAGCCTCTGGCGGGGTCTCTCACGGGGCCCTAGGGGCCGGCCCCGTCCCCGCCACGAATCAGGTGCCCCGCAGGAGGCCTGTCACACCTGCTGCCAAGCGCCACCAGTGCCCCTTCCCGGGCTGCAACAAAGCCTATTACAAGTCATCGCACCTCAAGTCCCACCAGCGTACCCACACGGGTGAGCGCCCTTTCTCCTGCGACTGGCTCGACTGCGACAAGAAGTTTACGCGTTCCGACGAGCTGGCCCGCCACTACAGGACGCACACGGGCGAGAAACGCTTCTCCTGCCCCCTCTGCCCCAAGCAGTTCTCCCGGAGCGACCACCTGACCAAGCACGCTCGCCGCCACCCAACCTATCATCCTGACATGATCGAGTACCGGGGGCGTCGTCGCACTCCCCGAGTCGACCCGCCACTCACCAGCGAGGTGGAAAGCCCCGCCTCCAGCTCCGGCCCCGGCCAGGCGCCCAGCTTCACCACCTGCCTGTAGGACAGTTGTTGCTGTCAGTCGTACCCTCAAGGATGATCCCCCAGCTGTTGTCCCTGCCTTCTCTCTGCCCATCCCTCTTTCCCAGAGTCATTACACCAAGGCACAGAACTGGTTCCTCTGCTCTGAGGGTGGGTCCAGGGAGACGTGTGGACTCTGGGGAGGTACTGGGGGCTGGAAAATAGCGGGAATTCTTGCAACGCTTATATCATCCTAAAAGTGGGGATTGCCTCCTCAAGACAGCCCCCAGGAACTGATAAGAAGGGATGAACTCTGGTACTCTCCAGAGTACTGAAGATTCTCCCCTCCCTGGAACCAGGGATGTGAAACTGGAATTCTCAGATGCCTGAGGAGCTCCCAGTCTCAAAGGACTCTGGTGTCTCACCCACCCACCAGGGCGGACCTTGGAGAGGGTGTCAGGGGTGGCAGTCTTGGAAATGTCCAGGACTGGGATGGTGAGAGGCCTTTGAAACAGAAATGATTTCTATTTCTGTAAACAGCAATGTTTACTAATTTATTTTTAGCATCTTTTAAATAGGGATCCCAGGTTGATGGGAGGCTAATGCCCTCCACTTCCCCCAATTGCCCCAGCTACCTCTGCTAGGAGAGGCCACGTAAGCTCCATGTAGATGTATGGATGGGAGATGCTTCTTGATGTCTGGGGTGTGAGTCTGTTTGCAGGTCTTACTGCATGATTTGGAACCCTGCGCTTGCTTGCGTCTTAGCCCTTCTCTCCATTTGGTTTCCTATTTGAGGATGGTAACTTCCTGGCTCACTCTGATGCTGAGATTGGTTAAACATTTGAAAACAACCGTAGAGGCACCAGAAAGAAAAGGATGGTCCAGCCTAGTTCCCCGCTTCACTCAGAGAAAACTCAAGGGACCTTAGGGTTGGGCGGGACCCAAAACAAGACCATTGGTAACCATGGATAACTTTCAGGGAAATAGAGGCGTGTGGACACAACTGCCCCACCTTATGTAATCTCAGGAGTGGTAGATTCTGTTTATTTCCCTCAGAGTCTGCAGATTTTCGTTTCTGAAACAGGTGAATTGTTGGATGGGAGAGGAAAGGTAACAGACTGGTTTCTTCCAAGGAGCTGGCTCCCTTGGTTTTGTGGAAGGAGTAGCAAGGTGATAGCTGTTATCATATAGGAGGACCTTTCTCTTCTGACGCTATAGTCCCTCCAGGTTACATCCTCAGGGCCCTCTCCCACTATGAAGGAATCAGACATCAACAGTATTTGTTTCTTCTATATGTGTCTCTGCTGCTGTGGATGAAATCATTGACCACTCTGCTTGTGTATGTATGAATGTGTGTATATGTGACCCTTTCTTTAGAGATGAGGCTGAAAGGCGTTCCCTGCCCTGGGAGATCCCCTTTGGCCCCTTCCTGAATATTTTGCAATAGTCCATCAATGACACTTGGGGAAGATGCCATAATCTCATATGACTCTAATAGGCATTTGGTTAAACAAATCGCTTTCCCATATTTTGCAGATGAGGATACTGAAGACTAGATGAGTTCAAAGTCATATGCTGGGTTGCTGGGAGGGGTGAGCCATGACTAGAACTTAGGTGTCTGGCCTGCTAAGTGACTCTTTCCCTTGCACTTTGTTACCCCATCTCTTCCTCCTCTCTGGGACCTTAGTCCCTCCCTCCCTAGTCTGTATTGCTTTTGTGTATCTTTACATGTTGATTGAACCCTTTGCCTATTGTGTTTGACCCAAAAGCCCTTTTCTTAAAAGATTAAGTACATTCCCTCCCTTTACACCGTGTGGACATAAAGTGAGAATGACTTTTGATATACTAGGAGAGACTTTCTTTTTGGACCTGCTAGGTTAATTTTCAGTGTGAATTCCCTTCTTTTTCTGGTCCGGGGCATTCCAGCATCCTCGAGAGAGTAAATGATACAAACGTGGCATTGGGACTCTACTAAGTGCTCCTACACTAAGTGAGGGAGGGGTCCTTAGAAAGGAACCAAAGAGTATGGCCTGTGACCCTGAAGAAGTTTAGTATTTCCTAATGAAGGCTAAGCAGAGAAGGTGAGGCTGTTGAGTTACATGTGCGAGGAGAAGGCCCCCATTATGAAAGTGAGTTTTGGTATTGGAAGGAGTCCTCTCTTTACTCTGTTTGTTTCTTCAGCTGGGGCTGGATAGCTAGGGCACTGTGGGCCCCACTGAAGACTACTGTTTCCTCCTTGTCCTTTAAAGTAGAAGATCTGCCCTTGGGTAAGTGGACCAAAGAAGCTAACAGGAATTCCCACTAACCGTTCTGAAATTGGTTTCAAGAAAGCTTGGCTTTTCCAATCACATCGATAAATAACTTTTGATTCTTAAGCTCCCAAATAGTGTCCTTATTTGGGTTCTTGTACACTGGGGACTTTTACCTGGGGATGGCCTCTGACAATCTCAATGTGACATGTCTTTCATTGATAAAACTGACTCCTCCCAGGTCTTGAGGTGGTGGGGAGGGGGATACTTAGGACACAGGAGTAGCCAGATACAAGGTTTTTAGGTGGATCTTTCTTAGTCTGAATATTGTTGTTACCTTTTTCACTCCATCAACCACAGAGTTCTCGAGGAGTACTTAGCAAAGGGCTTCCTCATTTTATTGGTGTTTCTTTGGTTTCTTTTTGTTAATCAGATGGAGCTCAATGAATGAGTACATCTGGGGGCTGGTTGGGGTCAGCCTGAACCGCTGAGCCCTTGCCCCATCCCTGCTATCCCCAGTTCTGATATAGGAATGATCTAGTAACAGAATCTATCCATAGACCTCTTCCTGAAATATGGGTTGAAGGCTGGGAATGAGTTCTAGGTCAGACCTTGGGTGTGAGGGAGTTGGAGCTCCTGCCTCTGCTGGGAGGATGTGAAGAATACAGGCTTTGCCCCCACTCATGGAGGCAAAAATATGTCATTTGTCCCTATTTCCCTGTTCTTATCTAAGCAGAGAATCATACTGGAAAATCGTTTTTGACCCCATCTCCACCTCTACTCACGTCTCCCCAAAGGAAAAATGATATATTCTCTGATGAAGACATAGGGAGGTGGGGGGTTGTCATTGTACACACACACTCTTAAGTTCTCTTCTCTTTTTTGCACCTCCCTGCCTGCAATGTGCATGCACTTCACTGAGATCCTGCTTCCATAGGGTAAGGTAAGCACACCTGCCGAGCCCCAGACATGCCTTCTAGAGGCAGGTTTGAAGAGCACGTCTCTCTATTCCTACTTTTGGAGCAGCCCTGCCCGTTGCTGCTGTCCAGGTAAGTATTTCCACTGTGTATTTTTCTTTGGGTAGTCCAGATCCAAGGCAAGGAATTAGGAGGGGTGGGGGAGTCAGTGTATTAGAAAGCCAGGTTTTGACCATGATACAGCTTCATCAGCAAAGTAACAGTTGACCCTTGAGCAACACAAGTTTGAACTGCACAAGTCCACTTATGTGCAGATTTTTTTTCAACCAAACAGTTCAAAAATAGGATATTTGTGGGATGCGAAGCCCGCTCATGTGCTGTTCTCTACACATATACAAAAAGTCATATGCGAATAGAATATAAAACTCTTCATATACATAGATTCCACGGGGCCAATTGAGGGGCTTGGGTGTGCATGGATTTTGGTATACGCAGGGATCCTGGAACCAATCTCTAGTTTATTTCAGGGGATAACTGTACTGATATTTTGATCCTCATTAGTCTGATTCTTTTATCTTGTACTCACTTGGCTAATAACATAGAGCAGAAAGAGGTAGAGTTAATTTTCTCTCTTAAGCCCCACCACATTGAGATGTGCCTTGCCTGTTAAATCTTGAGAAATAGGCACTTCACCTGGAATTAGGGAACCAAAATAAGATGTGTGGAGATTGGACGTCTGTAATGCCAGAGTATAGGGCTTTAATGCTTTAGTGATCTTCAGCCTTTCAGTTTCTTTGGTCTTTTCAAGTCTTAGCAGCCTATGATAGCAAGTGTCCTCACACAAGCCACTAATTTTTTAGAGACAGCACGGACCTTGGCAAAAGTGGACTGTTCAAACCACTTGGCTGATTTTGATTCACATAGATATAGCTGAGATATAGCTGAGGCATAGATATCTGTAGCTGAGATATGGCTTCAAAAAGGGAAGGCACTATTGAGTAGATCAACTTGCACTGCCTTTATTCTCAGCCAGAATTGCAGTTGAGGATTTTAAGGTAAGTGGCGTAAGTTCCATGAATGTATAAGAGCACAGGTTGGGGAGATTCTAGCTCTTAAATTCTTCTGGGAAGTACCAGGTAGTATAAGATCAGTTTCCCCTTTACCTTGATTTGAAATGCATCCTTTAATAGTGCCAAGGAACCCAATGGGAGGCTCCAAGTCCTTTAATTTATATGGGATATCCAAAGTCACCTTCTACTTATGTTCCAAGTTGGTACCAGATGTATTGACTATATAAGCCCTGACAGTGGAATTTCAAGGCCTCAGCTGAATTTCTTGTGTGTTCGACCACAGAGAAATGGTGGATCTTATCATAAATAACATAAAGAGGAATGGAAGTTTTTGTTATATAGGAGTTTGAGGAAGAAAAAAAGCAATGTATACCATAATCCCAAAGGCAGAAAGGGTATTAAAAAGACTTTTGCCTGAATCCTTCTCTCCCTAGGAATCAGGATCTATTCAGGAAATAAAATAGAGCCATATTTGTTTCAAATATATATTTAAATCTTGAAGTCAAAATAGAAGCAGTACAAGGGTAAAAACTGAAGAAAGGAAGATAGTTTGGTTAAGCTGGAGGAAGAGAAGGATTTATTTAAAAGAAAGCTTGTGTTTTCAGAGGACCATATTGACAGTGTGAAAAGAAAAATAAGAAAGACTGGTAGCCAACAGTCTTAAAGATGGGATTATAAAGGACAGTGGCATTTTAATCATTAGTAAGTTAGAAGAGGTGATTAGAACCCCAAGAGATCTAACAGAATAACAGAAGCAAGCTTTACAGGAATGTCTGTCTTCACTCAGGATCTCAGGTCCAAGAAAATATCGAGAGGTACTTGCTAGAATTTGCAGAGAAAGCACTGGGAAATCATCCCTATCACCGAGATATGTTTAGTCAATGATTACAGAAAATGTAAACAATACTTCCAAGTATTTTTAGCTTACTTTCAGTGATATTACCATTGTCGGTGGGAATATAGATGGTCGGTTGGAAAATGTACAGAATTAGGTCTTTAGAAAGTGTAAGAAGATGAGACACATGAAATAAAGTAATTGATCAAATTGATAGAACTTAAGAAGTAAAAAGGCATGATCATCTCAATAGTTTCAAAAATAGGTATTTGTTAAAACTCAATGATTTGTGATTTAATTTTAAAACACCTTAGTAAACTGGTAACATAATTTCTTAGGTTGATAAAAGTTATCTGCCAGAAGCCTACTATAAAACTCAAACCTAAATATTTAAACATTGCAAGCATTCCTATTGGCCACATGGGAAGATAGAAAGAAAGTCTAGACAAACTTCAGACAGGTAATCAC